CCCCACCATCCGCTTTAAGTGCAAGATGGTGAAATTTTCATTTTAAATACCAAGTTTTCCAACCCAAATTCCAAATCCAAATCAAACTCTTCAATACCCAATCTCATTGCTGCTAGTATATGCTAGATAACATGTATTCTCTACGTATCTGATTGACGACTAGCCTTAATCGAAAGTTCTCTCTCGTGATTGAGAGGGGTAATTAACTATAGGGGCTTGCGCCTATAAGAAACCAGAACTCGGATTATAAAGTCCTCGCAAAATGAGGGCGAAATCTCTGGGTAGTATCTTATCTACAAACCCATCTGCCTTCCAAAATTTACCTCGGAACTTATTCAAATAAAACTCCCTCGCCGAACAAAAAGAAAAGCGGCGGGGAGGCCGGGGCCGAATTTTCGGAGCCCATATATGTCTAAATAAATTGTATACATTTTTATTAACTTTTACAGAAGGTGTATACACGACTTCGAGAGAGTTAGGCCCCTGCAGGTGAGGGTTCTTCTGGCGACTCTGTAGAGTATTCTGAGTACCGCATATAGTCATAAGCCGTAGGAGGAATGCAATATTACAGGGTTTATGTTTTAAGTTCTCAAGCCTAAGCATACAAGGGGATGACCTCTGGTGGATCCAACTTCGTAGCAAGTTCATAGGAGTCCTTACATAGTCAATAGATAAATGCCCTTCAAGTGGAGCTAGAATAAGTAAGCAAAATCACAAGCTGATTGGCAAGTGTAGTTGCTGGCACAGATACATATGCAGATGCAGGAGCAACACAATCAGTTGTTGGATGAAATACAAAAAAAATTAGTGAGTAGTTCAGTGAAAAAGAGGTAGCTCCAGCGGAGGATGAGTCGACAGATTCAGAGTAGTTGTTTAGTTTTTTTTTTAGTTTCATATGAACTTTTATTAGTTTCTAAATATTTGATGAATTTTTTAATATTTGTTGAAGCTAATGAACAATTTGTGATATTTTTGAGTATTTGGTGATGTTTTTGAATATTTGTTGATGTGCTGTAAAAATCTGTGCTATTGAGTAGTTATTTTTTAATATTTGTAATTGTAAACTGTAGGTGTGGAAATCTGATTGTTGTTTGGGAAGATTCTTTTTTTTTTTGCTACAGGTTTTCGGCGAATAACTCGCCAGAAATCTGCCGAAAATGATGATACAATGAATTAGGTATCAATTTTGGGCATCCTTAGACGCCAGTTTTCCGGCGGATAAATGCGCCGATTATCCCCGTCATTTCTTTTTCGGCGTATTAGCGACGTTTGTTCCACCAGAATTACTGGCGTATTTTTATGCCGATAATTCCAGTGTATTTAACACCATAATAAGTGAATAAAAAGTGACATAACTACCACCTACTTATCCTCGGGTTGTGCGCAAGAAAGTACGCAGGAAAGATTTCTGGCTTATTATTTACATCCGGAAAAATTTTTTGACGCGTGAATTACCGTAGTATGAAAATTTGACGGGAATGCGATGGAAACTTGATGTTTTCATCCAAAAATTAATGTTTATGACGTATTTTGTTATATATATATATATATATATATATATATATATATAAGTTACCATGTAATCTCATAAAGTAATAAGTGTATTTAAGTGGTGAAACTATGTTATGCTTGCACTGCTCACTTCAAGTTCTTTTTTAAGAGTTGTCTTATAATCTGCCCATACATATCTTAAAGAAAAAAAAAATGCTCTTCATTTATTCAGAGAAGGAGATTAATGACTCATAATCTGTTAGTTTGTTCCTCTTAATTGATGGATTTATGAAATCTCAAGTCAAATGCTTTTTATTATTCAATCTACTCCTTTAATAGTATTGTAACCATACATCATCTTTACATACAATCTAAAGAGATGAGTTAAAAACTTCATTCTCCATCACTAAATCATCTTGAATACATATATATGTAATAATCTAAATAAATAATTTTATTAGGAGTACATTATTAGTAAAACTTAAAATTTGTCTTTACCATAAGATATATATTATTGTATTTTAATTACATAATTTCTTCGTAATTTTTGGGTGCTGGTGAAAATCTTTAAGAAATTGACACTTATTGGTACAAGTGGGGATTTTAGGACCTCTAGGTGTCTATTTTGCAAACTAATTTTATCAATATTTTCTAAATAAATGATTTATTTTATAGATATTTTCTATAATTTTAAAGCACAAAAATAATTTATATGAATTTTATAATAAAAATTTGATTAAATTAAATAGTTATATTAATATTTTTTTACAAATATGAAATATCTTAAACCATTATCTAACTTTTATTAATCTTCTTTTTCTTTATGATTCGATTAACACAGAAGGCTTAGGGAGAATTAGAGTGAAGAGAGAGAGAGTGAAATGAAATCCAAAGATTTGGAGGTCATAGAACTATTTTTGGTCGTCGACACTATTGGAAAATTTTTTCATCTCGATGTAAGGAATCTGTATCTTATTTCTGATTTTAATAATAATGTTTTAATGGTATTTTTTAATTAAAATTGTATTTTTATTAATAAAAAATGAGGATAATTTTATAATGGTAAAAATTTCACCGTATAACTTTTTATACATTATAGAGATCGAGATTATGAATATTTTGAGTTGATTCTAAAAATTTTTCGCCAAATGGATTTGAAAAAGGTAATAATTTTTGCATATACTAAAATTTGTTTTAACATCTAAACACAGTGCTTTAGTTTAATAAAGCTTCAGAATTTTTATATACAATTCTTGGTAATGTGATTAATTTATGAAAATTTAAATTTTTGCTCAGTAGAATTTTCTGCTGTCTACTATCATGACAAGTAGAGCTTTCTCTTTATTCAATGGTTTTGTTTTCTGAGCTGGTTCCAATCCCTATCTTTTCCTATATTCTGATTTTTTGTTAGCCCTTGGTTTTTTGAGTTAGCTTTTCTCTTATTTTATTTATATTCATAATTTCAAATTAGTGAGAGTGAGATTATATTTCTATTATTAGTTTTGGTCACTTGGGAGTATTTTCCTCTCAATAACTCCTATGTCTAAAGTTGTTTAGTTTGGGTTTACGTTTAAAGTTGTTTTTATAAGGGCCTATTTTCACCAGCCCTTTTTGTTGTTCGTTTTCTCTGCTGTTAGCTTGAGTTGAGGGTGTTTGAGTAGCTTTCTGATTGGGATTCATGTCTTCTTCAATTTTTTTTGCTTTCTTCATATGTCCTTGGGCCTTTTCGAGTATGGCTTCGTCCCCAGGTTTGCTCTTTTCCTCGCAATATGTCTAATTGTTTCCACTGTTTCTGTAGTGCTGATGAAGTGCCTAGGGAGTTTCTCTACCTTATTAATGCCTTATTTGGTGGACTTACTAACTGCTTACTATTGTTCCGATTATGTGAGAAATTCAAATGGGGATCTTCAAAGAGATTTTCTCATTTTTGGTTGTGAAGGATGTGTTCTTGAATGATTCTGTCAATGAGTTCTGCCTGTTAGTTTTGTTCCTTTATTCTTTCAGCTTTTTTTTTTTACAGGTGACTGTTGTGGTGCCGATTGAGCTTTATGTTGATTTGAGAGTTTGAAACCATGGGCGGATCCCCATTTAGTTGAGGGGGGTAAATGCCCCCCCTCAAAATTTTTTTTTTTTAATTTTAGTGAGATATTTTGAAATATTTTGGATATTTTGGGTATTTTGCCCCCTCTCAAAAAAATTTTTTGCCCTCATTTAATCAATCCTAAGCATTTTTGTCCATCCCCCAAAAAAAAAATTTTTTTGCCCATCCTGAAAAAAGAAGTTGGATCCGCCCCTGTTTGAAACCATCATTATACTTTTAATAAATTGATTTTTTTTAATTTAGCTTGGGATCTATTACTCAATAGGTTTCAAATTTATTTTTTGACTGTTGCTTTGTGAGCAATAGCGAGTTTTCAATCCCTTTTAAGGGTTTGCACTAGATTTTTTTATGAAAAAAATACTCCCCTTAACAAAAATGTCCTAATTTAGGACGGCAAACTATCTAGCAAAAATAATTCAATGGAAACTTTAAAGTTAATAATTCACACTAATGATTATCCTAAATTAATATTTAAATGCAGAAATTTGCACAGAAATTACTTTTATTTATTATTAGTGGTATAATAACTATTTTAAAAGTAATTTTTGTAATGACATGGCTTATCCAATTATACTGTGTTGAGATATAGCTTTATTTTTCAGAGCATTTTCCTCAAAGTTATTATATTCTTATAGTTAGCCTTTATTTTTCTTCCCACAGCTGCACGTTTTCACCAAGGAAACAATTGGATGATAACATCTTAACACTTTTTATTGCATTTAATGACAATTTGATGTAAATTTACGTCTAACTAATCAAGGTTTATATTTAACTCGTGACATGAATGAAGTGCTTATCGTGTGTGTGTGGGCAAATTATTGCATCCGGTCACCGGACGCAGATATAGGTCCGGATATTAATAAAATATTATTTTAAATTAAACGCGTCAAAAGCGTAGGTAAAGCGCAGTCAAAAGCGCAGGTAAAGCACAGTCAAAGCGCAACTAAAGCATAACTAAAGCGCAAGTCAAAAGCGCAGTCAAAAGCGCAGGTGACTTGACAAATTTTTATTGGATGTCCGAATCTATTCTCCGCGTCCGGTGACCGGATGCAATAATTTGCCTCGTGTGTGGCCCGATCAAACTTGTCTTTATTAAAAAGATCAGGTTGAGATGACTCTATTCAAGTCAGAATATTTTTTGGGTCAATAAGAACCCAATCTGACCAATTATACCACATTTACAACACCTAAAAAAATCGCTTAATCTCTTAGGTCACCGGACGCGGAGATAGGTCCGGATATTAATAAAATATTATTTTAAATTAAGCGCGTCAAAAGCATAGGTAAAGCGCAGTCAAAAGCGCATGTAAAGCACAGTCAAAGCGCAACTAAAGCATAACTAAAGCGCAAGTCAAAAGCGAAGTCAAAAGGTGACGTTGCAAATTTTTATTGGATGTCCGAACCTATTCTCCACGTCCGGTGACCGGATGCAATAATTTGCCTCGTGTGTGGCCCGATCAAACTTGTCTTTATTAAAAAGATCAGGTTGAGATGACTCTATTCAAGTCAGAATATTTTTTGGGTCAATAAGAACCCAATCTGACCAATTATACCACATTTACAACACCTAAAAAAATCGCTTAATCTCTTAAACATTTTCATCCATCGCCGTTTTTCTCGTCTTCAAAAATAAAAAATTTAAACCCAGCTCACATTGTTCGTCTCCACTAAAGCAAGGAATATATGCTAAACAGCCTGGAATGATTATTGTCAAAAATGAATATAATTTTGTATGCATTTTCTCATCGTCAAATGCAGAAATTATAAATAAGATTTTATGAAACCCAACGTTAACGTCATGGCCACCAATAAGGAAACACTTAGTTTTGTAATTCAAACATCACAGCTTCTTTCTAATGTCTTTTCAATAATCTCCAATATAAATAGTCCAGTCCTTGGTCTCAACTTAAGTAAACACGCAAGCCATAAACATGAAGAGAACTTATAGCAAAGTACAGTTCTTCCCCAGTCCCAAGTCCGACATCTCATCGCCACTCTCGAACGAATTCGATCGATCCTTTGTATGTGATCTTGAGAACCTTCACAAGCTTCAAGGATCACGCATTTCCGCTGATGACCTCTTCAAGATCCTGGATGCCTCCATGGTTTCCCAGAAGATGGGCATGAATATTGCAATGGATGCCATCAATCCCACTACATGCAGTGAGTCAGATTGGAGGTTTATCAATTGCTTCCTCGACAGCACTATGTTATTGCTTGATGCATGCAACAACATTAAAGTAAGATTGAAAAGCATTAAGAATTGCCTTGACTTGATTCCCGTTGGACTCCATTGTCTTGAAGGCGAGCATGAGCCAAGCAAGGCTGTACTACAACAGGCTGCGACAACACTGGAGTCTGGCCGTTTCAAGGACAAGCGGTTTTATGCCAAGATGGATAAAAGCTTGTCTTGGATGAGAACATTTGGCAAGAGGCTCAACGATCGCACACTAGCATATCAAGACAACAGGGATAATGTTACCTCAAAGGTCTACAAGGCCTTGAGCAGCTCATGGGCTATGTCTATTCTCGCAATTGAAGTCCTTTGTTCTGCTACAACTATTAGGTCTCTTACCAATCCAAGTGTCCAACATCTTAAGGTTGAACCACAAACAATGCTGTTCAATGAGCCAGAGAAAAAAATTAAGAAAAAATCAGAAAAAACTGCATCAATGGAAGAGTTAGTAGGCACAGATTTAGCTGCTCAGACCTTATTGAAGCTCATATCATCATGGCAGAAAGATGGAAATAGTAGTTTGCGACGAATGGCAGTAAAAGCTATAGCAGGCGAGCTTGGAAGGAGGAAACAAGTGTTAGAGAAGATATTGCCACTTCTTGAAGAAAAGACTGAAATGTTTTATCAGCAGATTGTTGCCGTAAGGATCAACATGTTTGGATTGCTCCGTAAGGCTCATAAGGAAGAGGCGTTTGAAATGTTGAAGCATTCTAGCTATGAAGAAATACAAATGGACGCCAATCATGCACACGATCAGAGGGATGCAACTCGAGTTGAAGTCCAAACAAAGGTGTCTACACGATCTAAGTCTCTAGCTCGAGTTAGACCGCCTCTCTATATTAACTTCAATCAAAATAGAGTACCAAACCAAGTTCTTTGAACAAATAAAATATGAAAATATTATTTATCTGATATATTCATGTATTTTGCTTATTTACTCACACAAAGAAGCTGTTCAAAAGAGTTATTATATTATATTTAAAAGACATCTTTTTTAAAGTTACAAATGTCTAAAGCCTGATATACTTGTAGTGGTTTTACATTTTACTGAGACTCTTCTAAGAATGCACAAGCATAATTTAGTGAGGTTGTAGTGCTCTCTGGTGCTTCTCTAGGGTTTTTCCACATGAAACCTTGCCGCCCCTCACCCTCCCTCTCGGAGGATTCCACCTAGGCTATCCTCCTCACTTTTCCTCCCCTTTCTTCCTCTTTCAACCTGCCTTCCTCCTCCCCTGCGTCTCCTTTGGATTGGAAGCATATTCATGCTTCTCAATCTCAAGTTTCTAATAACTTTACCTCTTCCCTCACTCATCTTCCGACTAAAAATGCTACTGCCCACTTTGCTAGAGCGCAATTCGACGTCGGTTCTCTCGAGTGGACGCTCTATTTTGTCGGTTACTCCATAGGCCATAGACCCTTCTATGATGCTTTCCTTTCCACAATTAAAAAACTTGATCTCTTATGGGCTCTCTATCTCTGCAAACACTAGATGATGGATTCTTTCTTCTCAAATTCTCAGCCATAGAGGACTATAAAATAATGTGGAGTAGCAGATCATGGTTTTTCTTTGGCAAACCATTCATCCTGAAAAGTAGACTACGGATTTCATTCGTAAGCTCGAAGAATTCCCTTCCATCCCTCTGTGGATCAAGATAAAAAATCTACCCCTTTCGTGCTAGACGCCTGAAGGGATATCTAAAATTGCCAGCTATGTTAGAGTTCCTCTAGCAGTTGATGCCCTAACTACGGCAAAAACTAGACTTACATTTGTGAGAGTTTATATATAGGCGAGCAACTCCTCATTTTACCCATTGAAATCTACATTTCGGTTGACTAAAAGATTTCTCTCATCACTGTCCTCTATGACCAGAAACCCAACCCATGTTACCATTGCGGCTCTATTGTCCACCTCTAACTAGGTGTCCTAAAAATCCCACCCCTCCCTCTACGTCGGTGCGTCCTCGAGGTAGAAGTACTAGCTGCAAACCCCATAACACTCCACCGCCCAATATTACTATCCCTAAACCTCCCCTACCCCCTATATCACAACCTGCTACAGCCCAAGCTTCCTCTTCCCAAATCCCCTTCTCCTTCAACCCAGCCTCTAATCATTACATCCCAAACCTCAACTCCCCTTTTGATGATGTGCCTCCCACCTACTGTGAGCTTATCCAGGCACTAGTACATTCCTTAACGGCACCCCCCACCAGTCCCCCTCTCTTATCACCAAAAATAATTTTTCCCCTCTCTGAACAGTAGGAAAACCAGAACCTCTCACTTACCAATCACCTAGACCAATATGCAAGTCAGGATTGGGATTCTGTCACACAACCCGAAAAAGCTGCTCCTCCTCTGGACCCAAATCCAAACCAACATATTTATGATAGAATTCCCACCTCGCAATCAAAATCGTAACCACATGGCTACAAAACTATAAGAGCCAAAAATGCTAAAAAGGCTCCACGACCCACTCCAATTCTTAATGATTCTTCCCTCAATGGGTTCTTGAAATGTTTGTGCGTTTAATAGCCGTGACAAGGTTATGTGTTGCAAGAAGTTTGTTAGCAGACATAATTTAGATCTTCTTTTTATTTTAGAAGAAATTTTTTTGGCCCAATCTGTCTCTAACCCTAGTTCATTTCCTCTCACTCTATCGTCAGTAATGAAGGTTCCTATGACAATTGTACTTTCTCCAGCCCTGGAAGAATTTGGATTAAATGTAATGCTCTCA